CATACAGGTTTACGCACCAACCTCGGCACATTCCGATGAGGAGGTGGAGGAAATGTATGAGGATATTTCCAAAGCCATGCATTCCTCCAAAACCCACTACACGGTGTTGATGGGAGACTTCAACGCAAAACTAGGCACAAGAGAAAACGGTGAGCTGAAGTTAGGGAAATTTGGAATAGGGCAACGGAACCGAAGGGGCCAGCAGCTGGCCGACTTTATGGAGAAAGAGGGACTCTTTATGATGAACTCTTTCTTCCAGAAGCGGCCCCACAGGAAGTGGACCTGGTCGAGCCCCGACGGTTCGACAAAAAATGAGATTGACTTCATTATGACGACCAGACGCCAACTGTTCAGTGATGTCTCAGTGATCGCAAGGGTGAAAACTGGCAGCGATCACCGAATGGTTAGAGGCACACTGAACCTAAACGTTAAGTTGGAGAGGTCTCGTCTAATGAAGTCAACGCTCCGTCCCCCTCGTGCTCTAATCCAGAATCCCGAAAACTTTCAGCTCGAGTTACACAACCGTTTTCAGTGCCTACAAGATTGCAATGCAGTGGACGATATGAATGACAAGCTCGTGGAAACTGTCCATGCGGTCGGAGCTAAGTTCTGCAAGACCCGCCGCAGAAGAACACAAAAACTCTCCGATCACACTCTTAATCTCATGGCTGTTAGACGGGAGATGAGGCTGCAATCGTCAACAGATTTGACAGCATACAGGCAACTGAACAGACAGATCTCCAAATGCATGCGGCGAGACTTACGCAACTTTAATACTTCTCGTATTAAAGAAGCGATCGAGCGGAACCAGGGCTCCAAAGTCTTTGCCAGAGATCTGTCTGCCAGAAAGAGCCAACTGTCAAGGCTGAAGACTGAGTGTGACAACATCGTTTCCGGGACACCTGAGATTCTGAGTGAGATTGAGAGGTTCTATGGGCAGCTGTACACATCATCGTTGGAGCCACACTCAAGTGTGAGTAACGATCCAAGAGCAAGTCTTATCCGACACTATTCCGATGATATCCCGGACGTCAGTCTGAGCGAGATTAGAATGGCTCTCCAACACCTTAAAAACGGCAAGGCCCCGGGCGAGGATGGAATTACAGCGGAGCTTCTGAAAGCGGGTGGAACACCGGTACTTGAAGTCCTTCAGAAGCTCTTCAATTCCGTCCTCCATGGTGGCACTACTCCAGAGGCGTGGAGCAGAAGTGCGGTGGTCTTGTTCTTTAAGAAAGGCGACAACGCTCTCTTGAAGAACTACAGACCGATTTCCCTTCTGAGCCGCGTCTACGTGCTGTTTTCGAGAGTCATTACGAATCGTCTCGCAAGCAGACTCGACGACTTCCAGCCTCCCGAACAAGCCGGTTTCCGAAAAGGCTTCAGTACCATAGACCACATACATACCCTGCGGCAGATTGTACAGAAGACTGACGAGTACAATTTGCCACTTTGCCTGGCGTATGTGGACTATGAGAAAGCCTTTGATTCCGTCGAAATTTGGGCGGTGCTGCAGTCCCTTCAGCGGTGCCAAGTTGACTGTCGGTATATCGAAGTGCTGAAGTGTTTGTACAGTAGGGCTGCGATGGCTATCCGAGTACAGAACCAGAGCTCGAAACCTATCCAACTGCAGAGAGGTGTAAGACAGGGTGACGTTATATCCCCGAAACTCTTCACCGCTGCTTTGGAAGACGTTTTCAAGCTACTGGACTGGAAAGGATACGGTATTAACATCAATGGCGAGTACATCACTCACCTTCGATTTGCCGACGATATAGTCCTTATGGCAGAATCGCTGGAGGACCTTAGCACTATGCTCAATGACCTCAATGGTGTCTCCCAACGGATAGGTCTTAAGATGAACATGGACAAAACAAAGATTATGTTCAATGTCCATGTCACACCTATGCCGGTAGTCGTGGGGAGCACTATGCTCGAAGTTGTTGACGAGTACGTTTACCTGGGACAAATAGTCCGACTAGGTAAGTCCAACTTCGACCGAGAGGTCAATCGACGGATTCAACTCGGCTGGGCAGCGTTCGGGAAATTACGACACATCTTCTCGTCAGGTATACCTCAATCTCTGAAAACTAAAGTGTACAACCAGTGCGTGTTGCCAGTGATGACTTACGGATCAGAGACGTGGTCCTTCACTGCTGGCCGTATGAGGACGCTCAAGGTCGCTCAGCGAGCTATGGAGAGGGCTATGCTCGGAGTTTCTCTGCGTGATAGACTCAGAAATGAGGATATCCGCAGTAGAACCAGAGTGACCGACATAGCCCAACGGATTAGTAAGCTGAAGTGGCAATGGGCCGGCCATATAGCTCGAAGAACCGATAACCGATGGGGAAGAAAGGTTCTCGAGTGGCAGCCTCGTACCGGTAGGCGTAGTGTAGGGCGACCCCCCACTAGATGGAGTGACGACCTGGTAAGATATGCAGGAAGTCGATGGATGCAGGTGGCTCAGGACCGTGCTTTGTGGCATTACTTGGGGGAGGCCTATGTTCAGCAGTGGACTTGTGAAGGGCTGTAATGATGATGATTCCCTTCGTGGTTAATTGTTTGTAATCGACCTGCCTTCCCTCGACTGCGCTACGTGATGCTTCCCTCCTCCAACTCTCTCCTCCCATAAATCAGGTTTATAGTCAAAAACATTACGAAAACATAACCTCAAAATTAGATTTTTAAAAATTTATAAAAAAAAAACTAAGCATGTCCGGCAGTACGTGGAAGTGGAAAGCGACGCTACAACTCCCCCGCGTCCCTCTCCACCACCTCCCACCCCCATAATTCATTTTGAGTTATGATTTTGAGGTTAGTTCTATGGGATTAACTTTTTGATTTTTCTCAAGAACGGTGCAATACCTTTTAATGGGAGTGGTATTATTATAATCGGGGAGCAAACCTCTACCAATTAAAACACCTTACTCCCCCAAATTCCTGACAAACGATTATAAATTTCAACCCAGGCCTCCCCCGTTGTGGAGAGGATTTCCTTTACTCGCTACGCTTCGAAGGTGGATTGAAGATCGCAGCACAAGTCATCTCGCACCCTTGACGCTGTGCCGTATCACCTACATACAACACCCACGGACTGAAACGAGATGACTCGTTAAATACTCAAATAAGGCACCGCGTTTAGATAACAGAAGTAAAAAAAACTACGCACACAGTATTTAAAAAATGTAAATAATAAGAATAAGGAAATACTAAAACAATTTTCGATGACCACTTTGGTTTTGATTAAAAACTATCTACGTTACAAGATTATTAGAAAAATATACTCAGAAAAAAAGTTAGAAAAGGGAAATGTTTTAGAACTCTCGGTAGAGGTTAATAATGTTCTGTCAGAGTAATAACCAAAGGGAATATAAATCACAGACTAACTAGTGAATATAAATCACTACTTTCAGTAATAACATACATAAGTCTCTTATTTATTTTTATCTTTTATTTTTATTTTTTCGAGCGTTGGCTGCAAGGTATTTAGCCAAAAAAACTCGACAAATTCATTAAACGCTGTTTATATTCATGTAACACATTATATTATATAACATTTATGAGTTTACATATTTCTTCATTATATTTTGACACGACACATTGCCAAAGTTTTCGTGAGATTTGACAGCACTTTAAACCAGCGGACGTAGACAAAATCAATTAGTTTTTTTTAAACATCTGACCACTTGTTTCGTGGTTTCCACTAATAGCTCACATTTAATTCACAAAACCGCATCTATTCACTTCCACTTCAAACTATTTAAAGAATAAAACAGGAGTAGTAATCCGCCGGCGGTAAAGCTTTCGCCAAAACTACAGACTTTTTATTTGATTTGATGCAATGTTTTTAATAATTTTTAACAACACAATCGATTGACAGTTTAAACTATAAGGCTGGGTATTTTACGAAAAAAGCAAAATCGATTCCCGGCTATTATTTTTTAAAAGAGTTTGCATATATGTACATAGTTAATATTTACTTCATACAACATTACTTAACCCCAACGTGCCACTCTGTATGATTACAATAAACACTCTAATGTAAAATTCGTCCTCTGTAACACTTTTGAGAATATTTCTGGAATAGAAAAGGAAATTAAAAAGACGCTGTATACGTAGGCATTACGTCTGCAACTAGACAATACATATGCGCATAATTACATTGTTTCTTAAACGAGATACCAATTTGTAGTATTAGACCAGTCAGCGAAGATTATTTATTCTTCTCAAGCAAGAAACAAATTTTGTTTAAGAATATCGAATGCGGCATAAACTTCCTTATACAATTTTACCTTTACTTAACTAAACAATAAACATGAACATTCATAGTAACATGGATAAAACCTCATAGAACATTTAAATAAAGTTTAAATACTAAAGACAACAGGATCACCACATTCATATTTCAAGATATATTTAGACTTATCTATTAAAGAAAAGAAAAGAAAAATAAAGAAAAGTAAAGTAGTTTGGGGCAAATAAAAAAAATAATCACGAGACCGAGATGTCGAGTCCACTCTCATAAATAGAGTTATCCCTTATCTATGGGACTCCCATAGATAGAGTTTATCCTTTATATTTATGCATTATTTATATAAGGGATAACTCTATCCATGAGAGTGGGCTAAGAAGTCCACTTACATGTATGTCCAAAACGTACGTGACAAACAGAATACGTGTTTTTGTTCGCTACCATTACGATAATTGAAGAACCACGTTTCTTTTTTAAGACACTATCAAGAATACTAGTGCATAGGTTTTGAATTGCGCCAAACATTTCATCACGAGGATAATAAGTCTAAACTAAAAACAAAGAAGAAGATACCATGTTACTTTCTATAGCAGTTATTAAAGTTGTAAAAAACACTCACTTCTACCGTTACGTTCATCTTCGTTATTTTTCTTGTAACTGTTATAATGGCACAGTAGGGAGTGTGGGTTTTGTAAGAATATAATTTTAAAAACAGCAGGTAATCTGTAAAAGGAATCTAAATCTTTAATAGATCCCAGTGGAAGCGGCATGGCTTCACGACTCAGTGTGGGTGTACGCGAGAGCTCTTGCCACTGCACTCAGTATAGGAGAGGACCCGCGGGACGGTCGAGCTCTAATGCTTCACGTTAGGAACACAACCTATCGCAGTGTCATGGGGTAAGCAATTTTTTTTAATAAAATTATTTATGAATAAAGTCAATCACCAATACCTACACATAATTGAATAACTAAGAAATTATATAACATATTTTAATTGTTAGCCTTTAAAAACGACTAACACAATTGAGAATGGCGAAAACAGAAAATACATTATTTAATTGACGAGAAACTCTTTTTGTAAGAAGGCTGTAATTCAACATGGAAAACAAAAATATGTACACTTAAATTAATTATGTTGCGTTTATATACCTATAATATGTCGTAATTTTCTTCATCGGATATTTGAAACACTTATAAAGATGATAGAACAATACTAAACACAAAGAAAACATTGGATACTTTTTGGAGTCACCGAATCGTGAAATTAACGAAAGTATACAATTCAGAATCGCAGTACGGGACAAAAAGAATTGTTAGTTTAATATTGTACATTATAGCAGGGTCGCTATCTGAGCTCGGTAGGGCGATAAAAGAAATTGGCGTGGACGGTGTCGACAATAAAGGCAACTTGTGACTAAACTATAGCATTTGTTCTTTCACAGTTGTATAATATGATTATAATTGTGCATGCTCTCTGCGTACAAGCTACAAAACTATGCTACGAGCACATTTTGGACATTGTTCCCTTGCGTCGTCGCAACTTCATTGAAATGCAAGGAGCATGCAAATTATAAAAAGTAGCCTTTCCGGGCATTGTCCGCTTCTTTTCGTTTACTATTACTCCAGGCAACGTAACGCTTAAGTTTAATTTTATTAATTATTATGTATTATCTTAAAATTTATAACTCAAAATCCTCTTAGTTTTTATTATATTTCATATTTAATACACTTTCAGACTATTATTCTGTCATACCTCACAAAATGTTTTTAATGTTTACGTGTACATATGTTTTTTTTTATAATAATTAACTTCTGTTAAAAGGTTTTGTATAAAAAAATCGAAGTACTAATATATTTCCGTGAGCTGAACACTTTAAACATACAAAGTCGTGAGAAACAACAAAAATACATTATACATACTCTGACTGCTTTGAAACACTATTTACATTATACATGATTTTAGGGGGGAGCGGGGGGGGGGGAACAACGTGTATGAACAAAGATATGTACGTAGTTATTACAAGCAAGCTATTATTTTTACTCCAAGTGTCCACCACATTGACCCAATGCGCGTTGAAGGGCTTCACATGTTTCGAATTTTTTTTCAGACATGGGATGCACGATGTTTTCCTTCACCGCCGATCACGTGAAAAATAAGCACCTAAAATTGCAATGTCTGGAGCTACCACTGCTCCTTAGATTGGTACTAAAACTGCATAAAATGTAACATTACAGTGTGTACTTTCGAATGTATACCGCATATAACAAATTCTATTGGGAAACAAAAAATAAAAAAATAAATAATGATTTATGGTTTACTATTAGCTACTGGGTGCACATGGATGAGAACGGAGATGCGGAGGGTAACTACACACTCCTGTCCATGGACCCAGAGCGACCCCCGGGGCTGTATCCACTCGCTGTTATGCACAAGAAGGCGCCGGTAAAGTTGTAAAATATACCAACAAATATTTTTTTAAATGAATTAATTTTGATTTTTTTCATTATTGCATGTCGCTTGTAAATGACACAAAACCAACATTTTTAATTTATATAGTATTGAAAACAAAGTCCAGTTTGATAGAGTAATTTACCTTCAGTATTTACAAAGCTAAACGTTTACTTAGACGAGTTTATCTTCTTGCGAGATCAAGGCAGAAATGTTACAAATATTTACTAATGTATAAATAGCAAACCGTATCCAGCACTAATAGCGCCCGGTCGCCTGGCGAATCTGGACGCGGCCCGAATTTTATTCCACTTTAAAAATATTTCATTTGAACTAATTTGACATAGCAGTGGTCAACGAAATGCCAAGAAACTTTCTTATGTTTCAATGTGTTTCAAAATATTCTTATCCTCAATAATTATTGAAGAACTTTAAATTAATAAAACCAGAAATTAATTAATTAATCATAAATTATTATAACCATATATATCAACAGTATATACTTAAAACTTTAATGGCATCCGATTTCTTTATTACGTTTTAGCACTAGTACGAGTACATTATACAGGGTTATTTTTCAAAGAGTAGCCAAATTTTAAACTTAAGTTCAAATATATAAATAACGATATACCGTTATTGCAATTGTTGAAAATACTGGTAATTTTTTTTTGTATAGGAAAAGTTTGACAAGCGAGCACGCAGTCCACCTGATGGTAAGTGGTTGCTGTGGCCCATAGACATCTACATCTATCCTCGTTTGCAAATCAAAATGCAGATGCGTTATCAGCATTGAGGACTAAGATGGAATGCCTCTTTTCCAGTAAGAAGGGTCTCCGGTTCTCTACACTCACCATACGAAACATAGCAGCATTAAGCTGTTTTTTGACGCTGGTATTCTGTGAGAGCGTGGTCCTTCCCCGGTCGAGCCGACCCATTTGTGCTACAACTATACAATTAATATAGCTGCAGCATGGCTCTACCTACTTCCTTCCACATACTTTCATTTGAAATTATCCCAAATTGAATTCAGAGCCAAATTCTGAACCTTCTTTGCAAATTTGGCCGGATCTGTATAATAAAGTTGAAATACGATTTTGCAAACTTGTTGAGATTGTTTTATTAAGATTTTTTCGATGTTAAGATAAAACGAACATGCAGTGCACCTAGTGTACCTGGATCGTGTGACCCCATCGAAATTCGAAACCTACATCTATATTATATTATTCTCAATAAAGAATCAAAATGCAAATACGTTGTCACAACCAAGAGCTAAGATGGATTGCCTGAATACTGAGATTTTTTTTACGGTGACGCGGAATGCGTTATTAGTAAAAAATAGCTCTGATTTTCCTAATTCACAACATACACCACAGGTCCATTGTGCTGCTATTTATGCTGCTATTCATTGTTAGCATGGGCGTTCCCTTAAGTTCTTCTAACTCTACCGTATAGTAACGGTGTATGAAATTTCACTACGGCATAACATCCCGTGAGTATCGTAAGAGGCGATAGAGATAAATAGAACAGGACGCGGCAGCAGCGTTTTCCCAATAAAAAAATATCCGCAGGTTTCGTCAACCCTTCTGCCAAGTATAGCGACTATGGCAACTATATATATATATATATATATATATATATATATATATATATATATATATATATAAATGCCTCCCCTATGACTCAATTTATTGATAAGGCCTATGTGCAGCTGTGGACTTTCGATAAGTTGCAACAGTGGTCTTCTCCGCATCTAAAATGTATGCACATTGTGATGTTCAGAGATAGAATGTCAATATATAAACATACGTAAAGTTTGTTTAGTTTTTTTATTTATTTGAAATACATCTTTTATACAATGAGGTGTCAAAGTGAAGCACATCATAATGTATTTACTTTTATAATTTAAAAGTAATTGTCACAAACTTTTTCAACCTTGACAACCTACATTCTTTTATATAGGAATTGAGATTCCTGCGGGAAATGAAATGGCCCGGAGGGCGGGTGCCTCTCTCAGAGCCGCCGTGCGGATTTAGGGGAGAAAAATGCGTCAGTAAGTATAACATTGTTATGTTAATACACACATCAAAACCGCCTACGTTGTAACATGTGAAAAATACTTCGAGAGCGATCTCGAATGGTGTTTTCGCTTACGCCGTAATGGATATGTATGCGGTCCATTACTTAAGGTCGGTCATTTTGTGCGCTGTTGTAGTAAAAAACTAATAGTTTGCAGCATTGCTGGGGTCGGCATTAAACACAAGCTTTGTAAACGACAGAGAGTGGGGTGGGTCGTTACGGACGTTGTAAGGCCATCGCCCGCACGCGACTCCCGCGGTGCCCAACGCCCGCAGGACAAAACATACGGATAGAGTTTTACACTTTACATGTTTTTCCTATAACTTTATAGCAACATGTGCGAATAAATGGAAAACTGTTTATTTTAAAATCAGCTTAATACATTTAGTCATTAAAACAGAGTGCTCAATTAAACCGGATCTTGCGTGTTACATTTTCATTAAATACGGAAACTTAAGATAAGTGGAGTACTTTTGTTTTAACATGAATTCTACGCCACAGTAATGTACAGGTTAAAATAAAAAAGTCAACTGATCTTTTTCCACAAATGATAAATATCTAATTATATGTAAAATCGAAATTCCTGCTAAGAGTCTTATGCAAAAAGGGATATAACTGAAAAAAGAAAAAATATAAACAAACTTATTAAACTTATTTCGGTCGGTCCTGAATATGCCGCAACTCTTCGAGCCTACATTTTATCTGGTAAGCCTGCAATATGAATTGATAATTTCCATTTCAAGCGTTGTATGTTCGAGTGCATCATGCTTAAGATGCTTACGCTGACGCTGACGCTCTTTACTGCTCTTTGACTCGTTTCTATTTTGTACCTTATCTTTTTGTTGAATATCAAGATTTGGGAACCATAGGATAGCCAGGAAGTAAACAAGAGTCTATTACTTTTAAGCTATTGCATAGCTTCTATCGCGGGCCTTGAGCGCGGGGACCGAATCCAGAAATTCCGTAACGAAAAAAAACCTCACGCTCCCCACTCCGACGGGCACGGAGGTGTGGCGTTGAAAGCCGTGCATCGTCTAACGTCGTTTCAGTTCGGCAGACTTCGACACTCGGCAGACTTTGGCACGGTGTTTATGTGCGTGTGACTAGACGTATGCGTGTACACTAGCTGCTAACTCAATCATAAAAATTCCTGAATAACCTACATGTATTGTAAGATATTAAAAATGTTTTAAACAATATTAACTTCTCATTTATTCAATAAGAGAAAAAAAATTGTTTTCTTATCGGTCACCACGCTCAAAAAGTGTAACTTGATTTAATATCAAAGACTTAACTGCATAAATAAAATAAATAAATAATTATAATTGCATAAGTTAATAAAAAATGCTATGCAATAGCTTTACCGCGGCAGTCACCGAGTGCCACACGTATTTTTTTCTTTAGTTTTAAAGGTAACTTAGATTTAATATTTCTTTTAGACCTCAAAATGTATTGTATTTATTCTCCTTTAACCTCTTTTGTGTGCCTGAATTACCTAAAAGAGATTTGTTTGCCTAAGTATAAGTAAGTCTCTACATATTCTAGCGAGGTTCCAATTATTATTACAGGGTTCTGAGTGCCGCTTGTCATCAGTCATCACTTTGGTTTTTGAGGTGTTTAGTTTTAAACCTATGCTTTCACTGACCGTGCATATTTTTTTATTATGCTTAAGAGAAGAGCACTATGTTATCAGCGAATGTAAGATTGCGTAGAAAATATATTAATTGATATAAATTCCTTTTTGTTCCCAACTCACATCTCTCATTATATTTTGTAAAACAGAGATAAAAACCTTGGGTAATTTACTTGCGTTGTTAAACTATTATTTACATATATAAAAAATGGAATTTTCAGTAATCCTTAAGTTCAATAACGTGAGACCTGTGTTACAGTAATGAAAGTATACACAGGAATAGATTTATGTATGTTGTATGTTATCATTTCGGCTAAATCAACCGGCAATCGCCCAGTAACTCGTTATTGGTAGCCCCGACGTCATATGTATATCAGCAAAATATAGTAAAATATACATACTTACTTATTATATACTTAATATAGGATAAATAATATATTAATAAGTAATAAATATATTTAATGATAAATAATTTTCAGTACAATCATCGTTTACTATTACAAATTTTTGGTTACACATTGTAATTGGCATTTAAACGTAAATTTTGGCTCTAAGTCTTTTGTGTTTCTCCGATAAGTTGTAGTTCGGTAAAGCTGCAACCTAATGGACCATGATTTGAAATTTTTATGAAAAGAAGTGGCTGACGTCAATTATTATTCGTCTTATTATTTTTTCATTACTGCCTTTTTCAAACTCACAAGATATTTGTTACTTCGTAGTGACAATAAAATATATATATATATATATATATATATATATATATATATATATATATATTTTCGAAGTTTGAGTTCTGTAAAGGCAATTACTCGTAAAATAATACGAGTATGACGTCGGGGCTACCAATAACGAGTTACTTGGCGATTGCCGGTTGATTTAGCAGAAATGATAACATACAACTTCAATTCATTTCTGTTCCATTTTTTATATATGTAAAAATAATAGTTTAACAACGTAAATAAACCACCCAAGGTTTTTATCTCTGTTTTACAAAATATAATGAGAGATGTGAGTTGGGAACAAAAAGTAATTTATATCAATTAATATATTTTCTAAGCAATCTTACATTCGCTGATAACATAGTGCTCTTCTCTTAAGCATAGTAAAATTTATATATATATATAAATATATATATATATATATATATATATATATATATATCATATATATATATATATGATATATATATCATATATATATATATATATATATATATATATATCATACCTGCGACTGCACATTTATTAAGGATATAAAATAAAATAAAATGCAAATGAATAGAATAGATGTATAGTTAGTAAAATATACATACTTACTTAATATATAGGATAGTATATTAATAAATAATAAATATATTTAATGATAAATAATTTTCAGTATACAATCATCGTTTACTATTACAAATTTTTGGTTACACATTGTAATTGGCATTTAAACGTAAATTTTGGCTCTAAGCCTTTTGTGTTTCTCCGATAAGTTGTAGTTCGGTGAAGCTGCAACATAATGGACCATGATTTGAAATTTTTATGAAAAGAAGTGGCTGACGTCAATTATTATTCTTAGGTATTATTTTTTCATTACTGCCTTTTTCAACCTCACAAGATATTTGTAACTGCAAAAAAAGAAAACTACGTATAAGTAAGTAAATCAGTAATATAGTGTTATGTATGATTCAGACTAAATAAAGGTTCCCAAAAAAACTAGACTACATAAAGAAATTGCATAAAAAAATTACTCAAATAAAAATGCAATAAACTTGTTAATTTTATAGGTAGTAACATATTAAAATAGCCAAAAACCGCGGACCCAAAAAAACCCCCCCCTGATCATAAACAAAAAAAACTCAGATGGTTAGCGCTCGCTGAAATTTTCACAGTGCGCGAGCAAACCGGGTTCGATCCCCGCCAGCACCAATGAAATTGTAATTGCAATTTTAAGTGTTGATTTACCACGTGCTCAGCGGTGCAGGAAAACATTGTGAGGAAACCTGCATGTCTGAGAAATAAGAAAAAAAAATATTTCGAAGACATGCGAAGTTCGCCAACACGCATTGGGGCAGCGCGGTGGACAATCCCTTGTCCTAGGACCCTTTCAGAAATGAGCGGAGCCCTGTGCGCAGGAGTGGGACGTATATAGGCTATAACTTTAAATCTAGCTCGAATAGCCTACTAATGAAATTCAAATGATCGGTTTAAGCAAAGTAAGGCTAGGTAAGTCAAATTAGGGCATTTTACGGTACCTACTTAGATATCTTTTACCTAATCACAAGCACATGTGTGTATCTAATCACCATACCTACTAAAGTATTTTGATTAGGTAAGTACATATTTGTGCACCATAATATCTACAAACCAAAAAATTAAATAAACAAACCTTTACATCTTCAACCATTTCAGTTGAACCAAGACAGGTATACTGTAATTCTATAGTTTCTTGACTCAAGTCGTTTACTGCCGTATCGTCATTGTTCGTATTTAGCCTGCAATAAAGAATAAATTATATTAGAGCTTGCATGACAACGAAACGGAATTACTTGTAATAAATCATTTAGATACATATTTTAGCCTGACTTACCCATTATCATTTTCAATTATTGGTAAACTTGAATAATTATTTTTGTCGACAAATTCACATTCAGGTACAGGGCCTGCTAGAGAATGCCTTAAGGCATTCAAGTTCGCCCATTGTAACTCTTATACATTACATTACAACGAATATTAAATAAATAAATACTCAATAGTCGACACAAAAAAATATTTACATAAATTTCAGTTCATCAGATCATTCCATTTTATTTTCATGACCAGTATAGCTAAAGGAATAGATGTTTTGCGCACATGATAATTACATAACTTTTTCTGTCGGATAATAAGTGGCTACGGAGTGAATTTTTAAGACATAATATACCTAAGGCACGACATGAATAAGGTTTTAGTCGCCACTGTTGTACGGTCAAAGTCTAAGTGCGAATAGTTGTTTCCATTATATGAGTGCTATCATAAACTTAGTTAACTTTTAAACTAATTATGTTAATGTGGACATTATCATTAGGTAAAATGTAAAAGATATGAATTAAGTGATGAAAAGAGTAAATAGTTTTACATATTCTCCTAACAAGCAATATCATACAATAGGTATATAATATCACACATCGACGAGGCATTGTTCCTCTCTGCCTAATTTAATCCTTCGACCGCCTTCAAACTTACTTTTATATCAACCCATTGTGAAAAACCATTGATATTTGTTACATCTGCAGAATAGGAATATTTAGGTGTCACATATTGCTTTACTGTTTTCTTTTTATAAAAATACTAAGCAAAATCACATGAAACTCAAAGCATGGATATTGTGAAATAGTTTTGTATGTCTGTCTGGCTATTGACTCTAAGATACAAAAATAGTTGTACAGATTTGTATTACGCTAAAATAATAGTTTTATTTAATTCGAAACAAATAGTTTTATGTAATTTAAAAACGAATTACATTTTACTTAAAACTCAGGTCATAGAACTTAAAAGTGTATATTATGCCTTATCTAAGTTCTGCTTTAAATTGAATAACCGTCTTAAATGCTTAGAAATTCTGGAGGTCCCTATTGCTACAAGCAGACGAACTTTGTTATCGAATAGATTGTAGGATTATTCAATTAATTTGGTAGAATGCCCCAATCTAGCGATCGCAAGCCCTCGCCGTCTTCACGGTCTGTAAGCTTTTTATTTACTACGAAGCTAATATACAACAAATATAATTAAAATACTGGAATAGGTAGGATGTAAACGTATGGAAATAATAATGGATGGAATAATATCGCATACTTATATCTTTATATATAAAATTCGCGGCTGGACCGATTTTGATGAAATTTTGATGTGTGTGTGTGTGTGTGTGTGTGTGTGTGTGTGTGTGTGTGTGTGTGTGTGTGTGTGTGTGTGTGTGTGTGTGTGTGTGTGTGAGTTTGTGTGTGTGTGTTTGTGTGTGTGTCTGCGCGTATGTGCGTGCGCGCGTGTGTGTGTGTGTGTGAGTGTTAAGTTGATAATACATTTTAGTTGATTATATATATTTTATAGACATAAAGTCTATATAATTATGCATTGTTTTATTTGTATTATGTATTATGTTATGGTTATGTATATTATGTACGTGACTGCCTCGTTGGTCTAGTGGTTGTAGTAGTGCGACTGCTGATCATGAGGTCCTGGCTTCGACTCCCGGGTCGGGCCGAAAAATTAATTATTAAGGTTTTTCGTCAAGATATTCTCAGTAGTTACCCGAAGTCAGGAAGTTGGCCAAATTCATGAAGACATTCAATGACCAAAATCATGAAGCCGAGACTTTCTCTGGCATCACGACAACACATCGCCGCACACGTCTGCCAGAACACACGACTCGAAAAATTAGCGTTAATTATTATGACTTTGTGTAGCGAAGTTTGTAAGGAAAGTGTTAAGGGACAGCTATTGATTTTTATATAAAGAGATAATGATAAAGCACCTTTTTTTCTTAACTACGGAGCTTTATCACTATCTCTACATAAAAATCGATATATGATACAGCGACCCACTATCGCTAATAGGAAGAAAATAATTAGACATACCTAATATAAATAAATTTATATTTTGTTGTCAGTAAACTAATGGTTACGGATTTAAAGGATTTCTTATTTTAAATTTTAAGAACGTTGGCTGCGTTTCCGCGCTGAATAGATTACTGGCGAACAGTGAATACCTAACTTATTTACGGACGTATGGAAAAGTGCTTACTATGTGCTCAATTCGAATTAATTGAATAGAATAATTTTTAATTCAATATAGATTACAAGTAGTTCTTATAGAAAGTTATTTTTTACTTTACCACTGGTTCGAAAAGCCTCTGTCCCAGAAAGAACCAGCAAGAAACTCAGCGGACTTTTATTTAAAAAAAAAGTAAATTATACATTACATAGGTCACTCAATAAGTTTTGAGATACTCGAAATATAAAAATGGAACGCACCCGTGTTATATGTTTCTAAAAAGCAAATTTATTTCAAAATAGAACTCCATAAGCCAATTGTTCAATATTAAAAAAAAAACAAAGTTCTATTAATTTTCCTGCAGCGCTTCCCCCGCTTTGCATTTAAAACGATGGATCTTAACCGCGAACATTTGCGCACTATGATATATTACGATTTTAAATTTGTTTTAATCGAACTATTAAGTTTACAATGGTTAATAAGCATTAGGAGACTCAGCTCTATCACGCGAAACAATTTTAGGTGGTTTGTAATTAACCTTAAATATGACCAAAGAACCGGGGCAAACAGCAATAACGGCAGAAAATGTATGGACTTCTGAAATGTTGGTGCGAGAAGACCCACAAATCACATATACGGACATCAAAAAGATTGTAGACATTAATTCGCGGAGCATTCATACCATCCTACATCAACATCTTAGAGTGAGGAAGCTTTGTTGTCGATGGATCCCTCGTTTGCTCTCCGAAAGCGAAAAATAGACATTTTGAAAACGGGGCATCTAGGCATGTTTCAGAAATCGTTACTGGTTACGAGACATGGATCTATCAATATGATCCGGAAAATAAAAGGCAATCATCGGTATGGGTCTACTCAGAAGGACAGTTAACCACAAAACTGCAAAGACCTTACAACGTCGGCAAAAAATGGTGGCTAGATCTTTTCGCGGAGTGGTTATTTGTCGACGTCAATGCTGGAAAAGTGTAGGTCAGTCAACTCTGAATGGTATACTACAGTTGCATTACCCAAAGCTTTTCAAGCTGTGCGGGAGAGAAGACCAAAGACCGGGCTTCGGGGAATCATACTGTATCACGATAACGCCTCAAGAACTTTAACTTAAAACAAAAGGATTTATTGAGGAATCTGGTGTTGAAACTCTAAGTCCCCACCCTACAGCCCTGACTTAGCTCCTTATGTATATATTATTTTTGTTCCCAAGTCAAAGAAAAAATAAAAGGCAAATTTTTTCAAGCGCCGAAGAAGCCGTGGCTCAGAAGCGATTTCCGACCTGTCAGATCAAGACTGGCAAAAGTTTTTTGAGAGTTGGTTTAGGGGAATGGAACTTTGTATAGAGCATGATGGAGAATATTTTGAAAAGATGTAAAATAAATATTAATAGCATCTAGAATACTTTTTGAATATCTCAAAACTTATTGAGTGTCCTACGTATGAAAAGTTGTACACACTATTTACAAAATTTATTTTAGAAAGAGCTTGGAAGCGACCACCTCATTCCCAGGGGTTATTATTAATTATGTATTCATTTATATTATAATAACCCTTATTATATATACAGTTTTTGTTCAATAAATTATTTAAACTTGGTGATAGAGAGGTCTTGTATATTTTCTGGGACTTTGTTGTAATAGCATGTAAATTGCCCCATGAATGAATAATTACTTCGTGGAGTCGAGAAACTGGTATCACTTGCTTTTCTTTGTTCCTAGTGTTTACAGAATGTACATCACTTTTTTTATTTAAACTGCTTTTGCTTTTGTGATGACATAGATTACATTTTTGTATTTTTTTAAAACTACAGTAGTGGCAACTACACTTACAATAGGATTTTCTCCTGTATCATGGAAGCAATTTATAAACGTACATCAAAGACAAACATTCCAGACCCGAAATCTATTATTGTTTCTGTGCCGAAACAGTTATTTGGAGGCCAATACAAATACTTGTTCCGTACGGAATTCACACCCTTTTTCGGGAAATCATCTATGTCCTTTCGCTCAGCAGAGTGTCAGACTTTACTGACTAAAAACCATCCTTCCTTCCCCTCCCCCCCTTGCCCCTTCACGGCGGAATTCACACCCTCGGCCCATGGCGCTGCAACTTAATGTGACGCCACGCTCAATCTAAAATATACTGGGAAGCCAAAGTTTTCTCTGAGAGACTCTAGAATTTAGGTTGTAACATAACTCTTAAAATTAATCTTAATCTGGTGGAGCCACGTGTTTAAGGCTGCCGAATTCTAGTTCCCCCGGTCGAACCTTAAACCTATTGCGCGAATTATTAATCTAAGTGGACTGTATCTACTAATGCTTCTACACTTGTATATGCGGTACAATGCACTCGCTCTTCCCAAAAAAACGAACTATTATGCCAAATCGATGAAAGGAATCCTGCTTGATTAGGAAAACACAAAATTGGAGCGGGTTAAAACTACTATATCAAGCAGGAAAATACTATTAGGAAAATGTTGACTCACCGGGATGTTTCTTCTGTGTGGTCGAGCACTATAACTGCGACTTCTGGAACACTCCGGAGAGAGGCGGTGCGCGACTATATCTCACACGAGGTGAGGCGGGGTTCCTGGAGCTCGACTGCTTCCAGGCTAAAGCGGTTTCTACTAGATGTGTTTCCAACAACGAGCGCGGCGGGAAGAGAGCTCTTTAGGACACTATTATCCTAGGCGGTGTGGTTTCAACGGCGAGCGCGGCGGGAAGAGAGCCACGCGTCGGTCGCGCGTGTCTTATATATCCTCGGTTCCGATGATTACGTGATGTTCTAGAATCATCTTCTTTCCCCTCCCACCCCACCACCCCGATGTGTCGATAGGAGGGTACGAATGATATCGTTTTGGAAAGGGATACCGATTTGGCAGCCTACCGTCAAATAAAATAAATACGAATGGTTTTCCGCGCAACCATAATCCTTCTTCCGCAAAACAAAAATGCTTTGAAATGATTGGTACTAATTAGTAGTACTTTTTTATAAATCATTCTTAGGAATAATCAAATTTGATATTTGCCTTTTTGTTCAGATTGATATTAAATTTCAAACTTCAAACAATTTTATCCTAAAATTAATATAATAATAGCTTTCAGATGTTTGAGTCTATTCTATTGGAAAACAATTTTACATAAGTAAAACTTCTGATTTAATAAGTTGGGAAAGGGGCTTGATATCGCTTAATTCAGCCCTGAGGCTAGCTGGTCCTATCTGAGTCCTCAAGTACGAAGTAGAATGATGTAATCAATTTTAATAATATATATGTGCATATGATATTATAACATAATTATGCCTATGTATAATATTAGTAATATTATAAATATTTTTTTTAATTTACATATTAATCGACTCTTACAAAAAATAAAATAACTTATTTATAAACATTAAATTACAACTTAAAAACATTATCTTAATATCTAGGCCACGTCGGCGCTTGGACATTGGGCGCATCTGGTGGCACGTTAGCACTGCTGGCCTTGGCAGCTTTAGCACTTTACCGAGGATGGCGGTACGAACAAGAGCTGGATTCACTGCTCTGGAAGATTGACTTTCGAGATCTGCACCTGCCCGATGACGAACAGAATGACAACAAACTGAGTAGGTAAACTGAACCTCTATATGTTGTTTGCATGAGTATGTAGAGATTTTTTTTTTTTGTTATTTTCAGTTGCCAAATCTCCTTACCAAGCGTGGAAACTATGGCAAGTATCCTGCGTATCCTATACCTTTAAACGAGCAATCTTGTATATATATAAAAAAAAAATATATACATCCCGTAACTTATTGTACGTCCACTATGACCAATTTTGCATATAATGTGGCGTCAACCTGCTTACGACGTCCAATACACGGACGTCAAATAGGAGACTTAGCGCAATGTTCGCAAATTGTCATGTTCATCACAGAAATGTCAAATTCTAAAAAAAATTGGGCGTCATTTTTCTTCCAATCTTGCTGTACTGAATATTTACGTAGTTCCGCTGTTGAAAAAATAATAGCGCTGCTGTCGATTTGTGAATACTTTCATTTAAGGCTGTATTTGACTTCCGCACAAAATTAGGAGATGCGACGTTGCCGTTCCGTCACCCTTGCTAACGTGTTACTTGGTGATATATGGTTATGCCTGCCTCGTTGGTCTAGTGGTTGTAATAGTGCGACTGCTGATCGTGAGGCACTGGGTTTGAATCCCGGGTCGGGCCAAAAAATCAATTATTGAGTTTTTCTGTCAAGAAATTCTCAATAGCTGCCCGGAGTCAGGAAGTTGGCGGTGTATCACTCCCGTGCCTTGTAAGCACGTAAAGCCGTTGGTCCTGCGCCTGATCTCTCTCCGGTCGTGTCGGTTTACCGTGTCATCCGATTATGAGAATGAGGGAATAGGCATACACTTGGGCACTATAACCAGTCCTGCGCCGATGGCTAGTCTTCGTTGAGGCAGGCCGCCTCGACCGTAATTCGGTCTGCAGGACAATATTATATGGTTTATACTGCGCTTGATATTAGTAATTTTACTTTTAAACTTGTTTTCTTAACCTTACATTCACCTACACATAATATGGACGTCCGAATATCCTAAAACTTTCATACTGAATGATATTTTACACCCGTATTTTTGAATTTAGTTATATTTTTATAAATGTAGATGCGGACGTCGGCTTATCGGTTTATTTCATGCTGCACTATGTTTTAGCATTTTACATTTGGTACTAATCTGCCTAAAAGAACTCTTGTTATATATTTCGTAAGGAACCCATAATTCCGTTTGAGTATAAGTTACCTTCTTATTGAGTACAGGAAGATGGACTCAATTGTAGATATTGACAGGTTTCATAGAATTATTATTATTATTATTATATTGTGACTAATAACCTAATATGTTCTGGCGAAGAAACTTATTTTAATATAAGGTTTTACTGCATTAACTGCCAATAGGTTGTTAATTTCTACAATATACCGTGGCATATTGTTGCTGACATAACTCCGAAAATATAATTTATTTACTTGATCTTGTTGAGTTTAGGTGTTCTCACTGCATCTTAAGGACGAGTGCGACAAGCGTACCTATTCTGTACGAAATTACTCTCTACGTAACTAGATTCATTTTTGTGAAAGGCTATTTTTGTTAAATTATGATATTATGTTTGGTTTTGCAGTTATTTGAAATACAATTTAATTTTTCACACACGTTTTTTTATTTATTTATTTATTTAAAACTTCATATACACAAGTGGTATATAGGCGGACTTAATGCCTAAGGCATTCTCTCCCAGTCTACCTTGGGATGATGCAGAGATAGAATGAAGTAGGTGTAATAAAAAGTTAATATGCGAATACTAAAATAAATTAACAAAAAAAATTGTAATATATGGAAATAAAATACATAAGATATAAATGGTACATCGCAAAAAATAGATAAAATTACATTAATATTCATACACATATATGTATATAAAATATATAATATACATAATTACAATAAGAACAATAAGAATATATATATATACACATATAAACATACATACATACATATATATACACATATATATATACATATACATACATAAACACACATACATACATATATACACATATACATACACATACACATGTACAACCAGTGCGTGTTGCCAGTGATGACTTACGGATCAGAGACGTGGTCCATCACTGCTGACCGTATGAGGACGCTGGTTCTGCCAATGATGAGGATGATGATTCTGCCAATTTATTAAGTAAGTGTTCCCGAACCTTCATCTTGAACGCGTACCGATTGCTAGCCGTCCTGATTTCGAGAGGGAGTGCGTTCCAAAGGAGAATAGATTGAATGTGGAAAGAATAATGAACAAGTCCAGAGCTATGGGATGGACATAGGAGAAGAAGGTTGTTCGTAGAGCGGAGGTTTCTCTCATGACTAGCACTAAGCAACTGAAAGTGAGGAGATAAGTAGGAAGGGGAAGTTGGAGACATCAGGATAGAATAAAGGGTGGTGAGTGCACGCAAACTACGGCGTTGACGAATAGGTAACCATTTTAATTGAGATCGATACGTGGATACATGGTCATACTTTCGAAGATTGAAAATGAATCGAATGCAGTTATTCAGAAGACGGTCATATTTGTTGAGAAGATCTGCATTCAGGTCGAAATAACACACATCACCATAGTCGATTAGGGGAAAAATTAAACTCTGCACAAGCATTGTTTTAATTTCAGATGGTAGAAAATTTTTTTAGGCGATAGAGAGAACGCAGGGTACCAGTGACTTTCTGGCTAACGGTCGTTGTTTGGGCTTTCCAACTCAAAGTAGAATCAATTAATAAACCTAGGTCCTTCACAGTGGAACACAATTGAATCTCAGTACTATTAAAAAAAGATAGGAGGTAGAGCTACTGTTTTCAATCTCTGGATCATCGGACGGCTACCAATTATTATGGCCTGACACTTCGAAGGGTTGACCATTAGGCCAAACCTGTCAGACCAGTTCTTAATGTACTCAAGGTCCCTGTTAAGTGTGTCCACCGCTGTAGAAATATCGTCAATACTCGCTTGTGTGTACAATTGCAAGTCATCAGCATACAGATGATACGCAGACTGAAGGTTTTGAGTAATGAGATTAATAAATATAGAAAACAACAAAGGAGATAATATGCCGCCTTGAGGGACACCAGCATGTATGTCAAGCCAGCTAGATGATAGCTCATCGATGCGAACCGACTGCTGGCGCCCTCGAAGATATGATGAAAACCAATCCAGTGCTTCGGGTGAGATCATAGAAAGGGAAAGGATGGAAATTAGAATGTCATAACTAATGGTATTAAAGGCGTTGGAGAAGTCAACCAAAACCAACACAGTGACTTTAGTGTCCTCTATGCCTGCCCTAATATCACCAGTTACTTTCAGGAGTGCGGAAACGGTACTATGACCGGGCCTAAAGCCAGACTGCAAGGGACTTAATAAGTTATTACGAGAGATAAACTGCGAAAGTTGCTTGTGGACACAGGCCTCAAGGACCTTGGATAAGAAGGGAAGGATGGATATAGGTCGAAAATGATTGGGTAAAGTGGGATTTGGGATCTTTTGTAAGGGAATAACGTAAGCCTTACGCCACAGTAAGGGAAAATTACCAGAATCCAAGGAGAAGTTAATGATGTGCGAGATGACTGGGAGGATATGGTCAAGTATATAGATAATCATCCGTCGGCTGATGTCGTAACCTACAGCATTAGATTTAATGGAAAGGATTATCTTCTTGATCTCATCAACAGCTACTGGAGAAAATTGAAACAGATTAATATCAGGACGAGGTAAACCCATTAAGTGTTCAACAGTAAGACGCTTTGTCTGTTGATCAAGAGGACTGTTGGAGACAAAATGAAAATTGATATCATCCAGACCAATCGTCCTTTGAAACTCACAACGGTGTCGTTTACCGATACCTATGGTTCCAAGGAACTTCCAGATATTAGCAGGGGAAGAAGATGAGATGTTACTAAGAATAAATCGGCGTTTGGCGTTGCGTATCATCTGATTACACCGATTCCTTCTGCCGGGGCTTAAGCCAAGTCTCCGAAATCAAGACGGCATGAACAACAGCGTCAGAGAAAGCCTCAATCAGATCACTGTAATGACTAGGTACGCTCTGTGCATTAATGTGGCAAACATTAAACAAAGAGCGGGATTCATCGAATTTATGTCGCACAAAATCCCCTAACGTTTCAGTAATAGAGCAATAACTGTCATTTGATGAAGAAAACTCGTTGGCAGAAAGAAAAGAATCATCATCGGAACTCATCTATATGTAATAGAATATATAAAAATAAATAAATAAATAGACCTAAAATATAAGAATAAATAAATTAGTATAATTAAAATTATATAACGTAAAAAAAAATAGTAATAATTTCGATTGCTAAACTGCCATCCCTGCACCACCCGCCAGCTAACACACTCAAAAATTAAAAGACAAATATAATACACAAAACAATAAAAATAAAAATGATTTGCAAGACAACTACAACTAAACTACGTTAAGATTACTAATAATAAATAGCAGAACTTAGAACAAATAAAAAGTATCATAGAGAAGTGTCTCATAGACGACAAATATACTATGTCCAAAGGACTTTGTATCCATGATCATGTATTAATAAAAAAAACCTTCCCAGCGACTGAAACTTAACTTGCACTATGCACTTATTACGAATCTATTAATCTATGGACAAAATATAATCAAAAGCAAAACAACTTAATACCAAAACAAAGTAGAACTTAACCTAAAATGTAATTAAAATTTAAAGTGAAAATATACAAGTTTTAATAAATGATGTAAAACGAAAAACTATATTAAAATTAGAAATTAACTAATTTAAAAAAAATGTAAATAAATGAGAAAGAAAGAAGCTTAAGGTTACATAAAAGCAAAACTAGGTTTAATACTGTGCATCAAAAGTAATAATAAATTATACTAAGTAATTCTGCAATATTCAATAAATTTAAAGTTGTAGTAAAAGGAAAAAGGAGAATTAAGACAATAAAACGCAATACTGCGTAGTTATTTACGTGGCTTAGAATTGCTTCCTGCAATGCGCTCGCCTCCAGTTGAGGATTCAGCAGTCGCCTTAGGGTGTTTTTGCGTAAGAGTAGTCAGCTCATCTAAGGTAGTGACTTTATGGCGGGATCCATCTGCAACTTTCACCACAATTACTCCATCTTGGGTCCAGCATGCACGCATGCCGAAATGCTGACGGGCTTTGCCAAAAACAGTTTGCCGAGACTTTGTCAAGAACTCCTTTACTGAAACTGGACAACCTTTCAGTCTAGACTTCGCCCTCCATACTGATGACCTGAAGTCAACGCTAAGAAATCGAACTAGGATTGGCCGGATACGATTTTTGGTGGCTACACCAATCCTGTGGCAGACACTAATGCAAGATGCTGTGATGTCCTTCAACTCCATTTTGTGGATTATACTTAGCACTGTAGCCTTGCAGTCCTCCTTCTCCTCTTCAGCAACACCCAAGAAAAGGAGAGCCTTTCGTCGATGCCTGGTCTCAATAGCGTCAACCATTTGGGAGCACTCATTAATTTGTTTACGGAGCATACCGAGCATAGAGAACATGAGTTCACGGAATGTTCGAAACTCCTCAGCCACCTTTGCAACCGTGTCCTTAGCGGATCCCCCCCGTGTGTAACTGTGCTTCCAGTTCGGCCATCCTTTTTGAAAAGCATTCCTCCAAGCTGTTCTGTGCAGTTCTAATCTCATCAAGTTGAGACATTGTGTTGTGCCAAGATATATATGAAATCCAAGTGTGTGTAATATGCTGGCAGGTGGTGTATTTAGATGGAATGAATTCACATATACACAGTTGTACAAATGCGATTACCAAGAAAATGGTGTTAATTAGCACTCAAATATGTAACAAATTATGTAGAATATTGTATAAGTTAATTTAAAATACAAATTAAAATTTTACGTATGTGTTAACTTTTTCTTCACCTACCGCCGAAAAAAAACGTTTTCTAAGCTTCTAAGCGTTTTATCATTTCTAGAATGAAAAAATTTATAAAACACCAAAATGAGTAATTTACACCGTATGGCCTCCCTACACTAAAATACGAATAAAACAATAGCGAGAAATGTCATTAAAGCAGTGATCATTAATGTGTGTCTTATACACAAGGAATTAAAATATAAACGTATTCATGGTTATATGGACGTCAAATATCGTGCGGTATTAAACGTTACCGATCATCTAACGTCCACATATAGAAATATAACAAAATTCAAAAATATGGACGTCAAATATCATTCAGTATGAATGTTTTAGGATATTCGGACGTCCATATTTTATGTGTACACAGGTAGTAATTTAAAGTTAAAATTTTGGCGCACACAGTGCCCCAAAAACCGCTACAAACGGCAACATTTATCAAAAAAGAAATAATAAAGGTTTTCTAAGCGTTTTATCGTTTCTAGAATGGAGCAATTTATGAAACACCAAAGTGACTATTTCATACCGCATGGGCTACACTAAAAATAAAAATAAAACAATAGCGAAAAATGACATTAAAGTAATGATCATTAATGTGTGTCTTATACACAAGAAATTAAAATATAAATATATTCATGGTTATATGGACGTCAAATATCGTGCGTTATGAAACTTTACCGATAATCTGACGTCCACATATAGAAATACAACAAAATTCAAAATATGGACGTCAAATATCATTCAGTATGAATGTTGGATATTCGGACGTCCATTATGTAGCTAAATATAAGGACACGAAAACAAATTGGAAAGCAAAATTATCTACTAGCACTGAGTACAGTATAAACCGACAAAAAATACCAAAATATGCCTTGAGCACTAAATAAATAATCAACATAAATAAATAGTAAAATGCAATAATCAACAACAACTTTGGACATCGGATATCGAAGAAGTGGACGTCAAATAAAACTTAGTGTGAACATTTTAGGATATTCTTACGTCCGTATATGGGTAAATACTCCGTTCAATGTCCATGTCAAGTACATTAATCAACTTACACAAGTTTACTTACCTAAGTTACTAAATATAATCAAAGAAACTTAAATGCAAGCAAGCATAAGCGTGGAAAGTTCTCAATGTGCGTAGGCACAGAATAAATAATAGTATATGTAGCGTAGGTCACAATACGGACGCCAATTAGAGTACGATGTACATGTTTTTAGTAATATAGCGTCCAATATTTATAACAACAAACACAAACAAATTGTATTTCAACTAAGTAACTGCAAAACCAAACATAATATCATAATTTAACAAAAATAGCCTTTCATAAAAATGAATCTAGTTAAGTAGAGAGTAATTTTGTACAGGTTAGGTAAATAGTTCGCACTCATCCTTAAGATAGTGATCATAAAAAGTAAACTCGCAGTGAGAGCACCAAAACTCAATACGATCAAGTAAATAAAATATATAAATACGACAAAGTAAATATTTTCGGAGTGTTATTCATGTGACCAACAATACGCCACGGTCTATTGTAGAAATTAACAACTCATTGACAGTTAATGCAGTAAAACCTTATATTAAAATGAGTTTGTTCCCAAGGTCATATTAGGTTATTAGTCACAATATAAGAAAATGAACTTCTATTAAACCTGTCAATATCTTCAATTAGTACTTATTTAGAATAGTAAAATCTGGGCAAATTTTTTAGTAAAAAACAGTAAAAATAAAAAAATTTTTTTTTTTCAGAGAGAAAAAAAAAAAAGACAACCATCAAACTAATAACACACCAAAATTACAACTAAGGAACCCACAAAAAACAAAAAGAAAAACATATATAAAAAAAATAATTGCCAAGGGCGCGCAAACTGTACTCATGATTTTTTATTCAAATAACCAGTTCAGTTTTATCTATTATGTCAATAAGATCAAAAAATATTATTCATGTAATTTGTATCTAAATGTAACTTTAAAAAAACCGAGCAAACCTCGGTCATCCGGGTTCTGAGGCATTATATGGACTAGACTTTAAGCTGGCAATAAATGTTAGCCGAGCGAAGGCGAATACCAACGTTTAGACTGCCCATTTGTCTAGGCTAATACAGACTAGTGCCAACGTGTATACTGTTCGTTTGGCGTGACTTTCCACCAATAGGGATCGCTCGCCACAGCTCGTTTCACTTTGGAACAGTATAGGTTTTTCTGCACAAATCAAAGGCGCTCGCCTGCACTCGGCAGGTCGTATCTACATGTTAGTCAGCCATGTCATGTGTGTTCACTCCTTCAAACTTGACCAACATATACACTGTAGCATTCGTCTTGTATCAATTTGGTTACGCTCGCGTTGGCTGAAGCTTGGCCAACATATATTGCCAGCCTTAGAAAGGCTGCAATGCGTTAATAATAGTATAATATCCCAGAGAGTGCAAGTAGAGTGAAGTATTATTAAATAATTACATTAAATTAATTAAAGGTTTAACAAATTATTTCGCAGTAATTAAACTTATTTCTAAGTAGCCTGTATGTGTCCTCGCCCCATTATTTCATTTTTTTTAATAATGAATTATTTAGATTAAAATATCGTGACATTTAATTTTTTTTAATATCAGATAATATTTAAGTTCTGTAAATTTGATTGATGAACCCTACCTCAATTTTATCTTATAACACTTTGTCACTTATATTAAAGTTATTTATTCACCACTCTGCTTTCGTTATAATATTTTTCTTTAAAAAAAGAATTCTAGTAACGCTATTAACATTATCAATACCCGTTAACCACATCAAGTAATCTTAAAATGATTGTGATAGGAGTAGTTCACAACATTAGTTAAATGGCGGATTGGGTTTAAGTCGGGATCTTGTGAATTCTGCAGTCCGCACTCCGCGCCATTAGTTTAGAAAGAGTTAGGATTAGCATGTGCTTTTTCCGTTTACCTTTTAAGTTTGCTTAAAGTTCTCCATCATCAACATATATATGACAGGTATTATATAAGCCTACAATCATTCTTTAAGAGTAGGTTTTTATATCTTGTTACAAAATGGATGCTATCCCTTAGATCCCTTGAATATAAAGAGGGTATACCCGTTTGATCTTACGTATTATATCAAGCGAGAATAATGTAAAGAACTTATTTTTGAATTGATACTTTATGCTTTAACCTTTCACATTCAACATTTCTTTCAACATTTCAACATTCTTTCCCATATAACTTTCAGTGAAGTTGATCAATTTACTAACATCTTCCAATTACTTTCAATGATTGTCAGAGTTATTAATAAAGAACATACTTTACTAATAATAACAGTAATTTTTTAACAATACTAGTTTCGCGTCTGGTATAAATTACATCTTTTAACTGTTAAGGTGTTTTGTATGGAAAAATCATGTATGTGTTTATTTTAGCACACATGATTTTTGTCTTCTGATCTATGCCACAATACCTTTCAAATTAAATAATTTTAATTCCCTTTTTTGAATTTACTGTTTGTAAGAAGCCAACGATTAGATGATTGTATTATTTGTATGTGATTGTACTATTGCCTTACATTATGGTGAGGCTGTAACTTGCGGACAAACCTCACGGTTTTTGCAGGTTAAATAAATTTAATCCATGTATCATTCTTATTTTATAATAAGTTGGTTATAGACATTGAAGTGATATGTACTACATACGTATGTATATTATACATCAGTGACTATAGATAATATTATCTTAAAAGTTGGTCAGAGCTGATTTTTTCCAGCAAGATAGCAGCGCAGCCATGAACACCAATTCGTCAAACAACATAATCGGGAACTCGGAAAAGAGTGGAGGAGGGAGTATAGGAGGAGCACGATCTAGTCAAGTATCACTAAGTTCCAATCCGGACCTGGACTTCCGTTACTCGGCCATATTTACTGAAGTGGCGTTCTACAGGGGCCGACTGCTCGCAGTCAAGCGTGTGAGGAGGCATCAAATCGACATTAACCGTGAGATTAAAAAGGAACTTAAAATTGTAAGTACCCTACATTGTTATTAGTGGTGCCAAGAATGAAATGCTCGCCTTTTTCATTTCCACACATGTTCTTTTTATAGAGTCATTGTTTCCATTATGAAAATTCCAAAAAGCCATACAATTAGCTTTAATGGAAATATTTCACTTTCAATATAAGTAAATTTTAATTAAATTATACTAGAGGTGACATGCGATAACACTTATCTCGTTTGCAACTAACACACACTTCATAATATTATGAATATAGCAATATTGACGTATTGCAAGAGATATATAATTTATCGAATAGAAACTACAAGTTATTATAAAATAAAAATTAAAAAAGAAAATTGAATAAATGCAATTAGTATTTATTCATAATTATTGTACATGTGCATACTTTGGGGTGACGTTATATGTGACTCCAATACTCAATTTCGTCGCGTGGGTGTCGTAAGAGACGACTATGGTTATGTCAGAAAAAAATTATTGCTTCCAATAAATGGCGGTATATTCATCTTTTTTATATACAAAATAAAATACCCACGCCGGCGACGGGTAGCATCGTTAAAGGCGCGAGTCGACTAGCACTGGCGGTCGTCGCCAGCACTGCGGTCGTCACTAGCACTGCGGTCGTCACTAGCACTGCGGTCGTCACTAGCACTGCGGTCGCCACTAGCACTGCGGTCGCCACTATCACGATTATGAATCCGCCTGCCAAGCGTAATCCTCCGTTGATGACCGTCTCGTGATAAAGAAAGAAGAAAGAAATGTGTGTCCATTGCATGAAGTCCACATTAATAAGAAAGGTTGGAAGTCGACCGATGTATGTGTTTTATAGCAGGCCATTTCCTTGAGGGAGGCCTATGTTCAGCAGTGGACATGATATAAATTATCTTTTAACTCGACCTTAAATTATGTGTTATTTAAAATTAAATAGAAATGATACTCGATTTTGAGAGATGATCGCTTTAAAGATAACTTGGCTAGAACATTTAGCGCGGCATTTTTTAAAAGCTATCTACATTCATTTTTAAAGAATCGGCATAAACATATTATGATTGATGTATAATCGATAACCTTACATTGAAATAGGTACTGACACCAAGTTAAAGACATAATAAAGAAGACATATTAGAAAAAAAAACTATTTACAAGAATCTACAATAATGACAGAGCTGACTGAGACAAAACGGTAAAAAGTTCTGTGCATCGAAAAAGAAAAAAAAGGAAATAATCCCAATAAATAAATCCCAGTAAATGCCAGGCTATCATCATTGGTAGTCGTCGATTGGTGCCACAACTTAACATAGCTGATCTAACATCAATTTGCTACGAAAACTGGGTAATTCCATTCAGCACTAGTGTCAAGGATCTGGGTTTAATTATTGACCCGTCTTTGTGTTGGAGGTTACAGGTGTCAGAGATTTGTCGTAAAGTCACAGGCATACTTCGTTCCATCTATCGTCTTAAGGTAATCCTATCCTATAAAAAAAGGAAAAAGTCCTTTCTGCCCCCTTCCACCAAAACTTCTACTCATCCAATTTCTAATTACTACATTATTTGAATATGCCGAAGTTTGCCTCACTAATATTTCTCAGGAGTTGCTAAATAGGTTGGACAATTACTTAACAACTGCATACGATTCATCTTTGGCCCGCGCAAATACGATCACGTATCAGAATTTCACTCCCATTTAAAATGGTTGATTAGACGCCAGCGCAGAGATTTTCGAAATTGTTGTCCACTCTGTTTTCAGTTCTTAATGATTGTTCCTCACCCCTTTATCTGAAAGAAAGATTCCAATTCCGTAGTGACACTCATTCTCTTAATCTCCGTTCTTCACACAATTTATTACTGTCTACTCCTCTCCATTATTCTGGGTTTATGTCAAATTCTTTCAGAGTAACTTCCATCTCCCTCTGGAACAAATGACCTGTTGACCTGCGATTACTCGTAATACCTGCCATAAATGTTTTTAAAAGAAAACTATACGAACATAACTGTAGCCAACAAAGTTGAGTCCACTTACTTTATATGTTTATAGTTATTTGTATATACATTTATTATATGTATGTGTGTGTATACATATATATATATATGACACCAAAGATGTGTTTCTATAATTTCCTGTTTTAACTATGCACTATTTTAATAAAATTTGATTCTAAATATTCTCAATCAATCGACATCAATATTCAATTTGTTATGTAAAAACCGTGCACACAATAAGTACACGAAAAAAAATGAACTTCACTCTAATACTCAAATGAAAAGAAGGTTCATATTTCGCGTAAAGAATAAAGAGAGACGATTGATGCGTAAATCCTATTACGCCAACGATGAAGTACGTTTACTTAAGCTGAAATATTAACTTTACATAATGTATAATGGAACGCTGTGGCGTACCTTTAAGCCTCTTAGCGAAATCAAATACCTTATCAGCCCCCAGCGTGCCGCAAAACAAACAAATTGTCCTGCAATACTCGTGAATAAACTTTGCATTTTATTAACACAACATTCACCTTCATTAATGCCACTTTAACTAATGGTGCATGTGATTAAAAAAGGATTAATGATACTACAGTGTACATAAAATATGTATTTTTACAGTAACGATGAGTTACAAATGTAGTAAGAGATGCAAAAGGAAGCTACCTTCTTTTTTGAAACAGTTTTAAAGAAGTACTTTATAAAGAACGGCTAATAGGGAATAACAGTAATCTGCAAATATTAATTTGGAGGTAGAAGAGTTTCTTCCACTTGCGTCTAAAAAATCAGACGACACATTAAGATGAAAATTATTTTATGTGACATTTCACTACTTTCAATTTCCAACTCCTAAAGGAAATAAAATATATTTATTTCTTCGGCGTAATAAAAACCAAAATATATACAGGTTGTTAGTGTAAACACCGTTATCGTTGAAACCAGTGGTTTGGTTTCATTTATAGAACGTGAATTTAATAAAAAATAATTTTTTTTAGTAAAATCTCTTTTTTTACTTAATTCCTCAATTTTTGCCTGTCCTAAGCCAGGATGAAAGTATGAAGAAAAAGTTACATCACAGGTTATGTGTACCTATTGTGTTTTTATTGGAATGTTGTGTAGGTGGCTAGGGTGGGCGGTGATCTTTACAGTGATTACGTCACTCAGGCGCATAGTGTGGGACAGAAACTTTTTAAAATTTATGAAAGAAAATAGCGTTTTGTTTTTAAATTCGGATAAATATTTTTATATTAAAGCCAACTACCTATGGTTTTAGTGACAATGATGTTTACACTTATACCTTATATAAAGCTAAAAATCCCTCTGACGTATGTGAGAGAGTGCAGAATGCCCAGCGTGTGACGCATAAAACTGTAATTTTTCTTTACTTTGTTCAGGGTAGTTAGTGTAACGCACCCGCCCCCCTCTTTCTTATATATTATTGTGATATTATTTCCCTTTTATATAATATAATTACTATATTGTGACCGGGATAAATAAATATGTTTTGATCTTTCCAAATGAGCTTTTGTAATATTCATGGTGTGATCGTCTTAGTTAGGACCCTTACTTACGTTGCGTTTGTTTAGTACCTTCTTTCTTTTACTTGTCCTTTGGAAGAATGAATAATCACTAGAGCAATTGAAGCCGTCTGTAGTGCCTTATAAGCTAAGTGAACCCCGTTCACGAAGACAGGGCTCGAGAAAGATTAAGAACATTAAAACGTCCCTATTCTACTTGTATTAGGTTTACATTATTAATTTATTGTTATTTATCCCTTCCATTTTTACAAAGGTTTCGCTCACCGTACGGCATCACCACCGATTGCATGATCAGAACGGTTACTAGCCGTAGATCGTGTCATGAGTCTACCGCTCACCTCAAGAGAATGGGGTCCCACGTTATGCGGCTTTCGACCGCAGCCTTGAGAGTCTTCTCAAATCTTCCAGCTACCACCCGCATGAGATCGACACATATGCTCCACCAACCAATACAACGGCGGATATAGCCAAAAGGCAGTTATAAGATAATAGTAACAATTTGCCATCAGAAGGGGTTTGTTTGTGTCCCTGACGTTGAGTATATGCATTTTCGATCATGTTTGTCTCACTCATAGAATAATATAAGTATTATGGTATTCTATGGTCTTACCCACCAACAAGTTGCCTTCAACCATTCAAAGGTGGGAAAGTTATAGAGATAAATGATTATGTCGTTATATGAACATCATGGAGGTCAGTCAGTCTGCAGTCCCGTAATAAAGGGACCCGACTTGGGCAAAGCTACTTAGGTGTGAGTCAAACCGAGACGCAGAGAGCGCCATTAAGAATAGCAACCCGCCGAACAAGAAAAACCATCGCGAAGACGCAGTGCTGCAGCAAGCATCAATACGTCTATTGTCCGGCTTACACCATCCCAAGGTCCCCCATACAATCACAGCAGACATCACCACCCGCATACCTCCATCAACCAGAACCATAAGATGCATCGAATAAGGCGCAGCACACCCGCAGATCCATCACAAGACGCAATACTGCAAGTAGCAGTAAGCATCTATGCAACTATTATACGGATTGCGCCCTCTCACAACGTACACAAATGATCCCTATCGACTTTGATATCAAAATTTGTAATTTTTTTTAACTAAAAACAACACCAACGTATCATAGTAGCACGCTACTAAGACGCCAGTGACCAAAACTCCACGCATCACGGCGCTAATACACTAAGACATAAAGTTGTGTATGCTTGTTACACTTAAAAATGATACCAAACACACTCATCCCAATCCGAAAGATAGCCGACGTATCGCTAAGCGCTACGACGTCGCCCACAAACGATATAGGTGTGCGACGTCCATGGGCAAGCCGAATTGCTAAAACAAACCCGCTCCCCACCGGCACTAAGATGATAAGTCGTTGTTGGGTACTAAAAACAACACCAAATTATCATAGTAGCACGCTACTAAGACGCCAGTGGCCAAACTCAACGTATCACAGCGCTAATCCACTAAGACATAGAGTATGCTTGTT